ACAAAAAAAAAAAAAAAAAAAAGTAAAAACAAAACAAACATTGCTCTTACTTTCCCAGAAATTACTCTAAGCGTGTCTCATCTAATAGCAGTTTATTCAAAACTTACACATAGGCTGAGGTAGGTACTCTTACCCATTTTACAGATGGAATTAAGGCACAGAGGTAAACTAACTTGCCTAAGGCCACACAGCTGCAAGAAGCAACCAATACTGGAACCCAAACACCGTAACTCTACAGTTCATTATTCTCATAACATCACCTTTCAAAGTGAGAAATGTGTTTTTACCCCAGGAGCAAAGATCCAACTGTTCTCCCGGTGGCAAATAACCACCTCCTTTACTGAGCGCCTGTGCGGTGAGTCTCATTGGCCCCAGTTCTGGATTCCTAAACAATCACTCTGCAGAGGCCTGCTGTTACTCCCCCTCGTTCATTTACTGGGCTTTAACCTGATGGCACAGCATCAATCACAAATGTTTAACAGAATCCTTGCAAGAGCTCTGTAGGGATTTATCGCCCACCTGACAGGGTGAAGTGGGGACTCAGGAGGCCAGTCCTTGGCTGGTACCATAGTGAGTAGTGGTGACCAGGGCTCCCGAGTGCTTCCTCATCCTGGAATGACAGGAAGGGCATGGAAACCCTGTGCACAAGCATCATTTGCAGATGTGGTGCAGCCGACTGCCCCTGCCACCTTCAGTAATGTCACTGTCCCTCCTGAAGGGAGAGGGCACACCCTTGTCACCTGCCAGCTCCACCATGGCAGCAACTGGCTGGTGACCAACCAGGTCTCAGGAGGCTCTGTGAGCTTGGGGCAGCCATCATCTGACCGGGAGGTGCCAGAGGGGACAGGTGAGCAGGAGCAGGGCAGGGTTTTGGAGACTCCCCTCCTGTGACTGCTCCCCCTGCTCGCCTGACACCCATCCTGCTGTGACACTCTGGTTCTTCTGGCCAGGACACCCCCCAGGGACGGCACATAGTCCAGGGAGTGCGGGTACCAGGCTGCCCACCTCTGAGGCAACCCAACGATGATGTGTGGTTGGCAGAGGGGCTGGTTCTGCCCACTTTCACCGGGCAAAAGGCTCCTGTTGCCTCCTCCCACCCCTCACTCCCACTAGGCCTCATACTCTGCCCACTGAAGCTGCTTCCTCTCCCAGATGACAGATGGGACAACTGTCACTGGGGTGTTGAGCCTGCCTTCCAGGGGAGTATGGATGAGGGAGGAGAGTCATGGGCCTCCTCCAGCTCTCCCCACCAAACCATGCTGCTAGCTGTTGCCTTTTACCCACCAGTGGCTCAGGATCCGTGAGGAATCCCAGGCCCCAGGCCCTGGGCCCACAGGAAGGGCATGGACACTGCTCTGGCGCTCAGCGCAGGCTCCTCCCAACCCACCCACCCTGCATCTCTGCTGCTGGCCCATCCAGCCCATCTCCAGGTCAAACCCATCCTGAGGATGTGCCCCACACCCCAGAGGGCCGCGGGGAGCAGAGGCGAGGAGGAAGAGACTCATGCAAAAGTGACAATTTTTATTTTCCTTCTTGGGGCATCTGCAGCTTCCAACCACCAGACCGAACCTCAAGCACAGGGAGGAGCACTGCAGCGTGGGTCTGGGGGACCCTCTGGGCACCAGGGCCCTGGTCTAACCTGAGAGGTTGGGGCTACAGGAGGCCAGGGTGCAGGAGTAGCCAGCCCCGGCGGTGAGAGCAGGTATCAGTGGCTGCTTGTGCTCAGAGCTCTGCCAGGGGCCAAAGTTGGGGCAGAAAGAACCACTTGACTCAGCTGGTCAGGTGCCGGGGCCAGATGCTGATGCTGACCTCTGACTCCTAGCAGCACCCACACAAGACGTATGGATCAGACTCCCACAGCTCGTTTTGGGGCGAAGGACACAGTCAGAGGCTTAAATAGATAGGCAGGGGCAAGGGACGTAGCGAGGACAGAAGTGACTGGACACGGCCTCCGGCCCCTCGAGGGGCTGCTGAGCCGCCTGTGGGACTCCCTGGCTGGGGAAGGAGGAAGGTCGCGCAGTCTGAGCCACAGGTCTCTGCTGCAGGCCGGACGGGCAGGGATGGTGGGGACGGCCTAGCGCAGGTCCTCCTCCTCGCCCTGGATGGTCTTCTTGATGCGCAGCAGCATGGTGGTGAGCCACTGGTCCAGCCGAGAGATGGAGTCGTACTCCTTCACCTGCGGCACCACAGGCAATTCACTGCCAGCCTCGGCCGAGGGGTTGGTCCCCGTCCCCCTGGGTCTCCGAGCGGGAGTGTGCGGACACCAGCAGGGACACCTTTTGTGTCTTTACTACCAAGGGGCTAACGTTTCCTCTGGGGGAAAATGCAGCTTCCAAAAGGGGGGGAAATCCAGCCTCCTTGTTTTAAGGGTGGCTGGAGGCCTGGAGATGTGAACACAGCCTGCCCCTCGAGCCCCTCTGCGCCTGGCCCTCCCTCAAGCCCTGTCACCCTGGGCAGGTGCAGTGTGACAAGCTAGCCTGTCCTTCTTTAGGGGCTTAAGTTGCTAGAGGCCAGGGAGAGGCTGGAGGACCGAACTGCAACCTGAACTGCACACAACCGAGCTCCAGAGTGTGCAGCACACAGCTGGGATGGGGAGACGGGTCCACACTGGTGAGGAGAGGAGTTTCTTGAGGAGAGGGGGTGTCCTCGGCGCCTTTCTTCCTTTCCACCCCACCACCTGCTCCTCCTGCGGTACCCACAGCACCCGAGCCATCCCACTGGTCTCCCTAGGGACTTGGAGGGGTGCAGGGACCATGGCTTTCTGGGCAGAGGATGGGGTGTGAACCGAGGGGCCGTGGCCCGGTGCCCTTCCCGCCCCAACCTCAGCACACCATCTACAGATGCAGCCAGCACCCGCTGTACCTCCTGGGCGACAGAGGACAGGCAGTCACAGCCAGGGCCAAGGCCAGAGATGAAAAGAAGACAAAACTGGGAGGAGGACACGGAGAGGAGGGCAGCCTGCCCCGGAGCCCCCGCCTGCCGGCCACTCACCGACTCTGTGTAGCTGTCCACATTCTGCTCCTCGTGAGCTTCTAACAACTTCTGTGAGCAAAAATAAGGTGTCGTGAGGCTTGGGGGGCAGAGGCCTGGACTGGGTTAGCGCCAAGGCCGAGCAGGAATGGGGGTCTCCCACAGGCGGGGAGAATGGGGGTTGGAACCGCAGGCGCCAGCCCTGTCCCCAGCACCACCCCTGGATCGGCCATTCTCATCTGCAAGTAGCAGAGAAAGGAAGCAAAACACAAGCGCCTGGGGAACCAGGGACAATCCTGGAGTCCTGGCCGCCTGCCCCACGCCAGGGCTGGGCGGGTGCGTCCCACCCTCTCCCCCCGAGTCTCCCGCTCACTTTCATCAGTTTACATTCCCGGGAATCAGAGAAGGCCGGGAACAGCTCCTCGTACTTCTGGACAGCCAGCTGGGCAGCAGAGAGGGAAGGAGAGGACCAGCTAGTAACGGGGCCACGCGAGACAGCGGTCCAGCGGGAGAGGACCTGGGGAGGGCTGGCAGCCCCGAGTCAGCTCTGCTCCTCCCAGCCGCCCTCCGCCATCACTTGGCTCTGTGCCCGGTGGCAGCTCCACAGGGCTGAGCTCAGCACCAGGCAGGCGGTAGAGATGGCTGCAGGGAGGGAGAGGGTTTCCCAGGCAGGTGCCCTGCACCTCCCCGCTTGCCTGTGCCAGGAAAAGGGACAAATGGGCACATTTACACGCCAGGCGGAGGGCTGGGCATTGCACATTTAACCCTTGCAAGGACCTGGTGGGCTAGAACTATGCTGAGCCCATTTTGAAGGTGGGGAAATAGCCTGAGAGTGCACGGGTGACCGGGTGGAGACAAAACCCACCCGGGCTGAGGTGGCTCAGGAGAGCACTGCCTAGCACAGACCAGGCTGGTCCAATCTGCAGTCCCGCAAACCCCTCTCAGTCGGAATAATGCCAAGTTCACAGCTGCCCTGCCAGCAGAGGAGCAGGGTGGCAGACGTGAGGGAGCCCTGGGCCCTGCAGAGCCCCTTCACGTCAGCTCCCTGGCACCTTCCCACCAGCCACTCGGAGGAGATGGGCACAGCCCAGGTCACGGTCACGGCCACATCTGGGATGCCGAGGCCGTGCAGCCTCAGCAAGTGACTCCGCCACAGCGTCTCCATTTGCAAGATGGGCTGACAGCAGTGCTGCTTCGTGGGATAAAGAATTAAAAACCGCACCCATGAGGGAGAGGGCCTAGCCCTGAGTCCCAGGAGCTGGGAACTCAAAAGCCTCCAGGGTCTGGCAGGGACACCACGGTGAATCCCACGGTGACAGCCAGGGCTTCCGGTCCAGAGGCTAACAGGCTGGGAGGCACAGAGGGAAGATCGGGCCCCTATGCAGCGAGGTGACCCGTGCCGGAGGGCGCTCTGGCTGGCTCACCTTGGCGTTGAGCGAGTCGATGCAGAAGTGGCAGAGCGCTGCCTTGAAGAAGTAGTCCTTGGCGCTGTACTTGAGCAGGGGGCTGTCCATGGCGGTGGTCCCCACCTGTGGCCATGGAGAGTTGGCACTATGAGCTCAAGAGAGGCGACCCGAGGGCCCACAGGAAGGGGGGGTCTGCATCCGGGGTGAAGCTAGGACCCTAGGGCAGTGAGCCAGGGACCAGCCCAGGGAGGGGCCTCGAGCACCAGTGACCAGGGCCAGGGTGCACGCCGGCAGGGAGCTGAATGTCCACGGGCCTCCTGAGGTACCTGGATGGCAGTGAGGTGGCACCTTGCTGTCAGGCCCCATGGGAGGCTGGCACGCAGTGGGCAGAGGGGTGGCAGCTGGGAGAACGTGAGAGGCGGCAAACACGCCCTCCCTCGGGGCCAGCTGCTGCCTTTGTCGCAGCCACAGCCACTCCCCTCCCCACACAGCAGGGGCCCAGGATCTGCCTCCCACTGAGGACCAGGGACCCTGCTCCGCCATCCTGGCCACCCCTCCCCACAGGCTCTGCAAGGCTGCCTCATTCTGAGGCCTCGGGCAGTCCCCGGAAGGACAGGGACAGCATGCAGGGTGTGAGTGGGCAAGTGCAAGGTGAGGGAGAGGGGAGCAGGGACGGAGCAAGGGAGGCGGGCGGACAGGCAGGGGCCCCGGGCCCACCTGCTCGTAGATGTCGATGGCCTTCTGGTACTGCTCCAGCTGGGCGGCGTAGCCGGCCACCTTCAGCAGACACTTGTTGGCTGAGCTGTGGGAAGGAGAGGGCTGTGAGGGGAGGTGATCCTGTGCTGCAGAGGGGTAGGCACAGGGCCAGGGCTACCTGTTGGACTCCTCGCCTTTGTAGTAGTCCGCAGACTGCTCGTAGTGTGCGATGGCCTGGGGAGACACGCAGGTGTGGGCTGGAGGCTGTGTGGCCTCCCTCACCCTCAGACACCCCTCCTGGGATACAGCTGGGCCCAGGCTCTGCCGGCACCAGGGACACACTGGGTGGGCAGCCGGCCGGGCAGGAGGCCCTGGTCACAGCCACTGTCCACTCACCTTCTCAATGTCCACCAGCTCTGTCTCGTAGATCTCTGCGATGGAGATGTGGTGCTTGGCTGCGATCGTGAATCGGCCCTGGAGACACAAGGGGCCTCATGTCGCCCCCCACCGCCCGGCCCATGCTCCGCCCTCAGCACATGTGAGAGGTCTGCAGAGATAGCATGAGGACTCGCCACTGGGGCAGGTGCCCTGCTGCCTGGCCACCTCGGTCGGTTCCCACTCTGTCCACGAGGCGCAGGTGCATGGGGCAGATGCCAAAGGTGATGTGTGTGGAACAGCTGGGTGCAGCCTGGCTCAGAGTCATGGGGTAAAAGGCTTTACGAAACCAGGACTGAGGGTTGCAAGTCCCCACTGCCCCTGGAAGCCATGGAGCCTGCTTTCCACAGGTCAGCGCCCCATCCTGCAGCCCCCTCTGTGCATGCCCGCCACACCCCAAGGGGCCCAATGTCCAGCACACCAGCCACCCTCTGCTTGCCCTGCCCGCTGCTGCATCCCCTTTGCCAAGGTCCCCACAGCTCCTGCTGGTCAGCCTGTGTCCCTGGGCCAGCCAACCCCTCACACGCCCTCACTCAGCTGTCCGCAGGGCTCACATGCGCAGACTATACAGAGCGACCAGGAAGAAGGCAACTGCCCTGGGTGCCTGGCTCAGGGAGGGAGCCAGCTGTTAGGTCCCTTACTGTAGCCCTGCTCTGAGCACAGCAAAAGGATGGGGCCTTGTGCTCCTGTAGGTGTGGGGCTGAAAAAGGTGGCCCACAGCACGAGCTTCCGGCCCAGCCTGGCCTTCTGTGACACTGGGAATTGCTACTCAGATGGGGGGAAGGTGGGGAAGAGGTCAGCACTGCATGTGTGCATGCGCGTGCGCGCGCACTCTCTCTCTCGCTCTCTCTCTCTCTCCAGGAACCTAACTCCAACAAATGAAAAGCATGATGGCTCACAGAGGATGGACGCAGGGAGGAAGGAGGGGCCATCAGCCCAGCTTAGGTGGCCACATTCTCCTCGGCTCCCACTGTCCCAGGTGCTAAGGCAAGGGACACTAATGGGGCTCCTTACCATGTCTGTGTAGATCTCAATGGCTCTCATCAAACAGTTGATGGCCTCTGGGAAGACAAAAGGGGAAGCGGGGAAGAGAAACCAGAGTGAAGTCACCACAGTGAACCAGACCGACAGGGAGAGCAGCGGGTGCCTGGGGCTGCCAGGTCTGTGCCCTTGCTCTGGGGGCCGGCAGAAAGTGGAGGAGCCCTGAGCCCAGGACACCTGGCTGGACTGCTTTTCTCTGCACACCAGGACCTGCTGGCAATGTCTTCATGGGGAGCCCTTCTCTCTGGGGCAGCTACAGGGACAGGGCACAGCCAGGTTCCCACAGGTGTTTTGAGCCACTCGCCAAGGCTCTGCTCTCTGAAGACAGCTGCTGCCACCAAGGGCCAAGGTGAGGCCATCCTGGGGCGGCAGATGCCCGGGCTCAGCTGGACTCAGCCACCGTCTCTGCAGGTCTCCTGAGCAGAGTCCGCCCTGCATCAGTGCCCTGGACCCCTGGGTGGGTGACTGTGTGCCCTGCCCTGCCCACCCCTCAGCAGGTGGCCGGCACAGTCCTCTGTACCCCACCCTGGCCCTGCCACCCACCAGTTCCTCAAATTGCAAGGTTCACCAAAAAACACCCCAAGACGGCGCTGAGAGAAAGAGCTCGGCTACCTTTGTTGTACTATCTCTTGCAAGATTTTAAATTTGGGAAAATGCTTTTTTTTTTTTTT